GCAGAGCACAGATATCCCATTGTGTAGCTTTGTGCTTAACCTCAAACAAACAAACAAATCTATCATTGTCTTGTGATTATGCTAAAGCTTGTTTTCTTTTCTTTCAATTCGAGCTTTTCAGGGGTAAAGCTACTTCTGTCTATAGAAGGTACAGAATCTATGGCTTGACATTAAAACTATGTTGTTAAGACTGACATTGGCGCGAGCTTACAATAAAAATAATTTATATTATTATGTTTTGCATATAGTTTTCTACTGTTGTTTGAACAAATGGCTTACATAAATAGTATTCCGACCAATACTGTGTTTGCTGTGTCCCAGCCGGTCTGATGAACTCTGGATTGAGCGAAACGCGTCGTCAGAAATGGATATGGCGAATGTGGTGCGGTTGAAATTCTGTTATTATATACTCTATTAATTCTTGCAAATCCTTAAAGGACTAAATACAGTGTTGAAATATAATAAGCCTAATACTAATGTCATATGACAAGTATAATAGGTTATTAATAGTTTTTATTTTTAATGAAATGTCATTCACATAGTTTGGCAACTATGACTAACTTCGACACACCAGTACTAAATGATGTATCTTCTTCGGTAGTCATGTTCTATCCCTTTTCCTGCTTTTTAGCAACATTCCCTCATATTCATTAAGCTAAATCGTGTATTTAATCTATTCTGTGAACCTACAACGCTAGAAACCGGGTTTCGATACCCGTGATGGGCAGAGCACAGATAGCCCATTGTGTAGCTTTGTTCTTAACTTCGAAACAATGAGAACAACTTTAGTTTACAACTTCCAAGTTCACGCTGAAGTAAACCAAGTGGAAAAAAACAACAACAACATTGGAAATGCAGTTGGAGATCTGAAAAGGTATATGGTCAAAGGGAATTTTCGTGATTCCAGTTTTTTATCTGCTTGGAGTTGTCTCAGACCTTCTCCAACTCAGTGGAGAAGTTCTTTCCTGGTTGTCTTTGGTTATAAATATCTTTCGCTCCGGAAAGAGCTAGTTAAGTTTACAAGCCCGTCCAGTGCAGTTAATACAGATCCTGTATTTTTTGTTGTTGTTTTTTACCTGACCGCAGTTCTGGAACCAACCTTATAACTGAAAGTATTTCCATAATGTTTGGATTTTTTTTATTATGAATAAAAAGAAACGCAGATTGTTGTAATCAGAAACAGATTCATTTAAATTTATACTTCCAGAAGAGCATGCGAAATTAACGTGTTTCAGTAAGACCAATCTTGTTTGGTACCTCACGAAGAGAAACCGGACTTAACGCAGCAGAAAAATCAGGTACGTTTTGGTTTCTAACTCACAAAATGAAACCGAATTTAACGCAGCAGAAAGTAGGCACATTTTGGTATCTAAGTTACGAAATTAAATCGAATTTAACGTAACAGATATTAGGCACGTCTTGGTTTTTAACACGCGAAATATGTAATGATGTAATTAGAGTTTGTTTTTCATTGTTCCTAATTTACAAAGTTAAACCGAAGTTTGAATCAAATATTCTATCCACAATTTTGCTTTAAATTCAAATCCAATAATTGCCACTGTCGTAATACTGATACTTATATTGAAACATTTTTTTACGTAAAATACATTGGAGTTTTTTTTCGAGTGTCTAGACAAAAAAAAACAAAAAACAAAAACTGATTAGCTGTATACCAACAAACGTGTTCTCAGATACAATCCTGTATTTCCAGTTAAACTTCTCCAGCGTATGTTTTCTTCAAATAAGAACATTATCTAGTAAAGTTCAGATTTGTCTTGATTACATTCAAATCGTTCACACACACACAATGCTAAGTTCTTCCGTTGAGAGCAGTAGCGTATTTCCACACACGGACAGAGAAGGATAACGCAAAAGGATTTTGATGTTTATGTCTATCTCCCATTAACTGAAACTTTTACAGTCTTGCTTCTTCGCGGTTCCCGCTTCTTCAGACACTTGAGTCGATTTCATACTTCGTTGCCACGAACCCGACTCTCTCTTGAGTGTCAGAAAGCTTTGGTTTCTGCATTCAATCGATTGAGCTCTAAGTCTTGTTTCAGACAGGTGCTAAAAAAACAAAACAACGAAAAAAAAACCTAGTTAAATACGAATTCTAAAGAGTCCACATTACAGCGTTTGCCTGATTATAAAGAGTTATTTGCTTCGATAAAAGTAACTAATATCACTTCAAAATAGCTGACCGATTTTGTTTCGTAATTAAGTTACCACTGAGCTGGTTTTATTAAGTTTTGAAAATCGGTCTTTATCTATCTAGCCTATAAGATTAAATTAAAATGTACGATGTTTCAGTTTACTTTGCTTAGCTCTTGGTAACATATGTTCAAAGTTTGATTCTGTATGGCTACACCATAGAAAATTTGACCCAGAAAGTCGTCGTCAAAATACTTTTCAAGTTTGTCAGGAAGAAAGTTCTGAGTGATTTTCTCATATTAATAGATCAATATCAAACTTACTACATCCTGATCTTTCAGTCCAGTAATGGTACTAATATGTGGGCGAGAAATTCGGTTAGCGTCAAAGTTTTTATGAAGAAAGAATTTTTTTTATAAACACAATATATACTCTTCTTGAAACCACTGATGTCTGAGAG